CCTGGTTGCCCCATTGTTTAATAGCAAGGTATTTAACCTCCTTGTATTTGTGGTCTTTCCAGATTTTTTCCGTATAGGTGACTTCTAGTTTCATAGTGTTGTGGTCAGAAAAGATACATAGTATGACTTTGATCTTTTTTGTTAAGACTTATTTTGTGGCCTAATATGTGACTTTTCTGGAGAATGTTCCATGTACACTTAAAAAGTATATTCTGCTGTTTGAGGATGGAATGTTCTGAATATATCTGTTAAATCCACTTGACCCAGTGTGTCATTCATAAGCCATTGTTTCCTTATTGATTTCCTGTTTAGATGATCTGTCCTTTGATGTAAGTGGGATGTTTCTACTATTTTTTAAAAATACTTTTCTTTTTATTTATTTATATGATAGTCACACAGAGAGAGAGAAGCAGAGACACAGGCAGAGGGAGAAGCAGGCTCCATGCACCGGGAGCCTGATGTGGGATTCGATCCCGGGTCTCCAGGATCGCGCCCTGGGCCAAAGACAGGCGCTAAACCGCGGCGCCACCCAGGGATCCCTGGATGTTTCTACTATTATTGTATTATTATTGATTAAATTCTATATGTTTGTTATTAACTGTTTTATGTATTTGGGTGCTTCCAAGTTAGATGCATAAATATTTATAATTGTTGTATCTTCTTGTAAGATTGCCCCTTTATTATTTATTACATAATGTCCTTCTTTGTTGCTCATTAGAGTCTTTGATTGATTGATTTTTATAGTCTTTGTTTTAAACTTTAGTTTGTCTGGTATAAGTATTGCTACTCTGGCTTTCTTTTGACATCCATTTGCATATTTCTTTATCCCCTCACTTTCAATCTGCTGGTGTCTTTAGTTCTAAAATGAGTCCCTTGTAGGTAGTGTAGAGATGGGTCTTTTTTTTATCCACCCTGTCACCCCATGTCTTTTGATTGAAGCATTTAGTTCATTTACATTCAAAGTAATTATTGATAGCTATGTATTTATTGCCATTCTATTACTTGTTTTATAGTCATTTTTGAAGATTTTCCCTGAACCTTTCTTGTCTTTCTCTCTTTCATAGTTTTCTGGTTTTCCTTAGTAATATATTTGAATTTATTTCTTTTTATTCTTTTCATATTTATTAGTGGTTTTGGATTTGTGTTTACCATTAAGTCTGTACATAACATCTGCATATAGCAGTCTGTATTAAGTCGATAGTATAAGTTTGAATCCATTCTTTACTCCTTTCCTTCCCACAGTTTAGGTATATGGTGTCATATTTTACATTCTTTTATTTTGTGAGGTCCATGACTGATTTTTTACAGAAATATTCATTTTTACTGCTTTTGTATTTCCCACCTTCATACTGTCATTTTTGGTCTTTCCTTTCCACTCAAAGAGTCCCCTTTAATATTTCTTGCAAGGCTGGTTTAGTGGTCACAAACTCCTTTGGTTTTTGTTTGCCTAGGAAGCTCTTTATCTCTCTTTCTTTTTTATTTTATTTTACTTATTATATTATTTTATTTTTAATAAAGATTTTATTTATTTATTTATTTATTTATTTATTTATTTATTTATTTATTTATTTGAAAGAGGGAGAGTGCACACAGGTGGGGGAGTGGGAGGGGCAGAGGGAGAAGCACACTCCCCACTGAGTAGGAAACTTGACTTGGAGCTCAATCCCAGGACCTCTGGATCATGACTTGAGCTGAAGGCAGAAGCTTAACTGATTGAGCCACCCAAACACCTCTATTTTTTTAAATTATTTATTTACTAGAGAGAGAGAGAGCAGGGTGAGGGGCAGAGGGAGAGGAAGACAGAATCTCAAGTGGATTCTGTGCTGAGTGCAATAAAATCTTAAAAAAAACAATCCTAAAGTATTCACATACACATTAGGAAAAAACACAACAAAACTACCAGAACTAATAATGAGTTCAGCAAGGTTGCAGGATACTAGATCATTATACAAAATTCTATTGTATTTCTTTTTTAAAAAGATTTTATTTATTTATTCATGAGAGACACAGAGAGAGAGAGAGGCAGAGACACAGGTACAGGGAGAAGCAGGCTCCATGCAGGGAGCCCGATGTGGGACTCAATCCCCAGGACTCCAGCATTATGCCCTGAGCTGGAAGGCAGACACCCAACTGTTGAGCCACCCAGGCATCCCTCAATTGTATTTCTGTATACTAACAATTAAAATCCAAAGATAAATTAAGAAAGCAACTCCCATTTATGATAGCATCAAAAAGAATAAAATAGGAGTAATGCAAAAAAGAAGTTCAAGGCTTATACACTGAAAACTTCAAAACATCATTTTTTTTAATTTTTTTTTTTTTATTTATGATAGTCACAGAGAGAGAGAGAGAGGCAGAGACACAGGCAGAGGGAGAAGCAGGCTCCATGCACTGGGAGCCCGACGTGGGATTCGATCCCGGGCCTCCAGGATTGCGCCCTGGGCCAAAGGCAGGCGCCAAACCGCTGCGCCACCCAGGGATCCCCACTTCAAAACATCATTGAAAGAAATTAAAGAACTTAAATAAATAGAAAGAAATCTCATGTTCATGTATTAAGACTTAATATTATTAAGATGGCAATACTCCCTAAATTGATCTACAGATTCAATATAATCCCTGTCAAAACCCTATATCCTTTTTTTGTAGAAATTAAAAAGCTAATTTCAGAATTCACATGCATATGTAAAGTACCCCAAATAGTCATAACAATCTTGAAGAAGGACAAAGTTGGAGGACTTAGACTTCTTCATTTCAAAACTCACTACAAAGCTACAGTAAGCAAAACGGTATGGTACTGGCATAAGGACTGACATACAGGTCATTGGAATAGAATAGATCCAGAGATAAACTCATACGTTTACAGTCAATTGACTTATAATAATGGTGCAGGACAATTCAATGGACAAAGGAATGGTCTTCAATAAATGGTGTTGGGACAACTGGATACTCATATGTAGAAGAATGAAGTTGAACCCCTACCTCACACCATATACAAAAAAAGTAACTTCAAATGAGCTGCTTCTCTGCTCATGGAAGATTGGAAGCATTGCTTTTCCTTTCTTTGGGATAAATTTCCATTAAATAAAATTTTTCTAAGATACTGAAAAGGGATCTCTATTTGGAGTTAATCATTACACAGTTTTGCTAGAATTAACCTATCTAGCTTCAGAAAATTAGGATTTTTAGAGGAGAAATGAGATTATAGAAAACACTAGAGCTATTTCTTATTTTTTTAAGATTTTATTTATTTATTTGTATGTTTGAAAGAGAGGGCATGAGCAGGAGGGAGGGGTAGAGGGAGAATCAGACTCCCTGATAAGCAGGGAGCCTGACTCAGGGCTCGATCCCAGGACTGAGATCATGACCTGAGCTGAAGGCAGACACTTCACTGACTGAGCCACCCAGGCACCCAAGAGCTATTTCTTAAAAATATGCATTTTTGAGGCAGGAATATAATGGCTTTGTGTCCTGTGAAATTTTGTCTTGTTTTCTATGTCTATAACAATGTGTGTTGGGTAAATGAACAAACAAATTTCTTTTCTGAAATGGTGAAATGAACAGATCCATCTTATCTTTACTATGGCTTTGCTGTGTAGCAAGAAACTGGTCTTGGAGGTCCTGAGAGCATGATTCCATCTTGGCTCTTCCACTTATTGCTGTGAGTGCACCAGAACATCCTAGAGCTCCCTCAGCCTCATCTGTCCAGAGGATTGTAAGGCTAACTGACATAGTATAGAGGGAAAATGCCTCACTTCTGTTAGGTCATTTAAATGACACCTATTAGGATTAATTATAACAATATTACTCATTTTTTTAAAGTGTGAGTTTTCTACATTGTACATTTCTGTCACTAGTTCAACTTATTTGATGAAAGTATTTCTTTGATTTGTAAAAAACAGTTTTCCTGTGGTAACTCAGCTATACCACTGCCAGAATTCAGCCTAGGATGCATTTCTCGTTCCTAATGATAAATGTATAATTGAACATAATCTGAGTATCTTTTTCAATAAATCTGAGCAATCATTTTGTTATATGTTTTCTTTTTCCAGAATTCTCTAGTTGAGGGATAAGAGAATGGTAGGATGGCCCATAGGGACATATTAGTGAGAATGTAAGTGGTAGAGTGTTTTTGGAGGTCAGCTTTGCAATAAATATCAATGCTTAAGAGACATGTATCCCTTGAACTCATAATTCTACTTCCAGGAATCTGTCTTATAAAAACACAATTGTACAAAGATGTTCATGGGAGTGGGGTCTGCAGTGGAGAAAATGGGCAGCTAGAACACGTAAGAAAGACATAAACACATACTCTGGAAAACCATGCAGTCTTTCAGAAAATAAGGTAGCTCTCTACGTATCAGCACATATTTGCAAAACTACACATATATTATCCCATTTGTATAAAAAATGTGTATTTCTGAGAGTTTGTGTGCATGTGTATGTGTTTACATTTTTAATTGTGGCAAAAAGAAATAAAATTGATCATCTTAACCATTTTTAAGTGCACAATTCTGTAGCTTTACACATACCTACTTTGATGGGCAGCCTACACCACCAGCCATGTCCTGAACTTTCTTTATCCTGCAAATCTGAAACTCTGTCCTCATTAAACACAGCTCCTACTTTCCCCTCCTTTTTGAGGCTGAATAACATTCCCCTGCAAAGATGGACCACCATGTTTATCCATTCATCTGTCAATAGACCTTTGGATTGGTCCCACCTTTTGGGTATTGTGAATAATGCTGTGAACATGGGAGTACATAGCTCTTGGCACCCTTGCTTTTCGCTCTGGTTTGATTTACACAGGAAAAGATATAAAGAGGTAGACAACACAGTGAACTCTGGAAAATGACACTGGGGTGGCACGTGAAGGTGACACTTTGACTTGTTATTTCATACACTTGATGTTATACTTTTTTTTTTACAGTATTAGGTTCTGTTTACAATTGTTAAATTATGAAATCACTAATTGTTATGCATTTGGTTTGTGCTGTATGCAGTCAGCAGTCCCTTTACCAGAAATACCCTCACGTGTTTTGAGAGAATGTTGGTTGAAACTGAAGGAGAACCCTGACAAGGACGTCTTTGAGGAATGCACCAGGTGAGTGGCCAACACCACCCTGCAAGGGTGCACAGCTATTAGCAGATGGGGCTTATAGGAGCTTTCTCTACACTAGACCAGTTCTTACTGTGGTACTTTCCAAATTAAAGTGGTCACTTTGACTAGAACGAAGCAAACAGAGTGATGATAATTCTACAGACATAAGGGACACACTGAAGCAGGTCACATCTGTGGAGAGCCAGTGTATTAGCATGTGGACCCCTGGCCCCTTCACTCAGCCTTCTAAAATGCATGTGTCTGGGATGAAAAGATTCCCATAAAGTGTTGTTTTTTAAAGCCCTAGGCACTTGCTGAAAATATCTTCTCTCTAGATGTTTGCAGTATAGACAGGAAAATTCTAAATCAGGGCACTGATTAATCCGGCTCCTTATGTACACAGGGAGACAGAATGGTTTCTGGACTGATCTGGCCCAGAACATGGAGTCCTCTGTCCAGTCATGCAGCATTCTGGTATTGCTTGTCCTAAGATCCCTTTAACAGATGCTGGTTGAGTGCCGATTCTCCCTCAGGTGCTGTGTTTGTTTCCTGGGACCACCATAACAAAGTTGCACAAACTCAGGTGGCTTCAAACAACAGAAATTTATTCTCTAGGTGCCTGGGTGGCTTGGCAGTTGAGCGTTTGGCTTCACCTCAGGTCATGATCATGGGGTTCTGGGATCGAATCCTGAATTCGGCTTACTGCTCCACTTATCCCTCTCCATCTGCCCTTCCCCTTGCCACCACTCATTCTCCCTCTCACTCTCAGATAAAATCTTAATAAACAACAACAACAGAAGTTTATTGTCACAGTTCTGGAAGCTGGGAGTCTGAAGTCCAGGTCTCTGGAGGAGAGGGTCCTTCCTCGTTTCTGCTAGTTCTTGGGCAGCAATACCTAGTGTCTCTAGGCCTGTGCAGCAGCACTTCTGTCTCTGCTGTCTATGGTCCTGTGTCTTCTCCTCATAAAAGCACCAGTCACATGGGACCAGAGCCCACCCTGCTCTGGTGTGGCCTCAACTTAACCAATGATGTCTGCAAAGACCCTTCCTGCAAGTAAGGCTGACATACAGGCACCAGGGTTAGGACCTCAACACATCTGTTTCAGAGACGCGTTTCATGTCATAATCATTTGCTTCTTTGGGTTGAGGTTATGCTAGGAAACAAAAAACAAACCAGTGCTGACTTAAGTTTTCATTCCTTTTTTTTTTTTTTAAGAATTTTTTAAGTAGTTTTTTTTGTTGTTGGTTTTTTTAGATTTTATTTGTTTATTCATAGACACACAGAGAGAGAGGCAGAGACACAGGCAGAGGGAGAAGCAGGCTCCATGCAGGGAGCCCGATGTGGGACTCTATCCCGGGTCTCCAGGATCACCCCAGGCTGCAGGCGGCACCAAACCGCTGTGCCACCGGGGCTGCCCTTAAGTTTTCATTCTTATATGCCTTCAGAAAATATGAATCGCAGAACCTTGCTTCTTAGTCATTTTTTGGGAAAATAATTATTAAGCGCCTATTATATGCCTGTCATTGATCTTGTTTCCAGGAATAAAATGATAAGCAAGAATGAGTTGGTTCTTTATTTCTAGGGAGTTTATGACCAAGTGGAAATGACAGAGTAATCTGTATTAGTCTCCCGTTGCTGCCGTAACAGATTTCCTTGCACATGATGGCCTAAAACAACACACATCTATTTCCTTATGGTTCTGGAAGTCAAAAGTCTGAAAGGAGTATCGCTGGGCAGAAACCAGGTGCCAGTAGGGCCTTGTTCCATTGAAGATCTAGGGGAGAATCTGTTTTCTTTTTTTGCTCTGGCTTCTAGGGATGTGTTACTTGGCTCATGGCCCCTGACCTCATGTTTAAAACCAGCCGTCCAGGATCCTCAGGTCTCTCTCTGCTCCTGCCTTACCTGTGTCCACATCTCTCTCTGTCTCCCTCTCATTATCATGTGTGCAGACCACCCAGATAATCCAGGATCATTTTCCCATATGCAGAGTCCCTGTTGCCATGTAGGAGAATTCACTGGTTCCAGGGATTAGGACCTGGATGCATTTGGGTCATTCATTATTCAGCCTACCACAGGTGCTGAGTGAGTTACCAGGGTGGGAGCTTTCAGGGCATCTCTCCTAGCGGGGGCCACTAGAGGATTCTGTTCAGGCTGCAGAGGGGCAGAGAAAGCACACAGGCCCATAAGGGGAGAGGCTGGTGGGGGAGGTGCTGGTGGAGGGTCCCTGTTGCTACTGCAGCCTAGGAGGGCCAGGGGGACGGGGCGGCACCAGGGCCTGGTCCTTGTTCCCAGGTGCCCTCTCTATCACTTTGTGAGGGTTCACACAGGAGTCCTCACGTGACCTTTTGGAGATCAACCTTCATTTCACAGAAGAGGAACAGAGGCCCAGGGACCAGGGAGAATTTGTCCTTTGCTCTAACAGCAATTAGAGAGACACATTTCATTGTGGGAGTTGTTCAGGTGATGGCAGCCTGGACTGGCTAGTGGCAGTGATAATGGAGACAGATGAATGGATTTTGGAGAAATCCATGAGGCTGATGGGCAAGGGCGGGCGGGGGGGGGGGGACGACAATGTAGTCCCTCTGGGGACACGTTTGAGTTTGAGTTGCTTTCCAGACATGGCAGAGAGCTGAGAGGTCAATAGCTGAATCTGGAGTGTTCTCTTGAGACTCACAAGAGGCAGGATCTGGAGGTCATAGCCTCCTGTGCACATGTGACTGAGGCTGTGGGCGTGGAGGCCAGGCCCAGGCATGTGGGCAGAAGGGGGACTGAAGAGAAGAGTGTGCTAAGAGCAGATGGCTACAGCCAATCTCCCCCTCCCTCTCCACATCACTCTGGCTCCTACTGCCTGGCTCTGTCCCCTCCTTCCAGCACAAGGCCCTTAGCTGGAACTGTGTTAGGGGACGGAGGGGACAGAAGCTAGAGGTTCAGGGTTCCCCACTATTCTGTCTCATTTCTGTATTGCTACAATCTTGATTTCCCAAAAACCTTCTTTCTCATTTTGGATTCCAGAACACAGATGTTGCATAATGGACATAAATGTTTCCTTTAGGCTACCTGCTGTTTTCTGTAAGAAGTTGTAGTGAGAGGCAGCATAAGGTGATGGTTAGTGGGGAGCCCCAGGACGAATATATTAAAACCAATGTTGAACTGATGCTCAATTTTAAATGTCATAACTTTCAAAAAATGTGTGCAGTTGGGAGGGGGCTGGGTGCCTCAGTGAAACAACTGCAACCCTCTCTGTGAAAATGAGGTTTTTAAAAGACACATGTCTTAGCATTGTTACAAATGTAGTTTCATTATTAAACACCCCCTGAAACGGTCTCAGAATCCATATGGATCCTGAGAACACATTTTGAGAATCACTGTGCTATATTCTAAATAACAGACTATATTCCATCCCTTATCTACTCTACAAATTAGAATTTTATTACTTCTGTAATAAAATTTTATAAATTTATATACTTTTATAAAATTCATAAAATTCCAAATAAAACTTTATTTATTTTTTTATTTATTTATGATAGTCACAGAGAGAGAGAGAGGCGCAGAGACACAGGCAGAGGAAGAAGCAGGCTCCATGCACCGGGAGCCCGATGTGGGATTCGATCCCGGGTCTCTGGGAAAGCGCCCTGGGCCAAAGGCAGGCGCCAAACCGCTGCGCCACCCAGGGATCCCCAAATAAAACTTTAGAAGCATGGCTAATTGCATAAAATTTCTTCTGGAAATATATAGCATAAAATAATTCATTGGGTTCTTTAGTTTCAGTGTTAAAAAAAGGTTGTGTCAATTGGTGCCCAGGTGGCTCAGTTGGTGAAGCGTCTGCCTTCAGCTCAGGTCATGGTCTTGGGGTCCTGAGAATGAATGAGCCCTGCATCAGGCTTCCAGTGTAGTGGGAAGCCATACTTCTCCCTCTACCTCTGCCCCTTCCCCTGCTTGTGTTCTTTCTTGTTATCTCTCTTTCAAATAAATAAATAAAAATCTTAAACAGTAAAAAAAAAAAAAAAGGTGTGTCACATATTAACATTTTCTACAATGTGACCATTATCATTTAGATATTCATTCTGTTCTCTGATCTTACATACAATATGTTTGCAATCCCTACTGAAATACACATGCTTGGGTGCATGCATACACACACCACACACACACACATACATACACCCCTTGAATACATTTACTTAAAAAGAACTTTTGACCTTAGAAGGGTAAACAGTTTCATTTCTTTTGAATTCTTGCCTTCATATTTTTACTGATAACATTAGAAACTAGTGTGAAATTCTATAATTGCAAAATTTAGTGTCTATTTGTGTATTGATTTCCTGTATCCAGTGTTGATGAATGCATTGAAACACAGTTGTTAAAAAAAAAAAAAGAAACACAGTTGTTTTCATATTGTAATGCAACAAATGTATGTAATTATGTAAAATCTTTTTTTAGTTTTGTCCATTACTATTTAAGTGGAGAACCATTTGAAGAATACCTAGAAAGCCCATATTTTTCCCGATTTCTACAGTGGAAATGGTTGGAAAGGTATGTTCTAATTTGAAATTCAACTAAAAGAAGTAGTAACTTCTCATAATGTGTACTGATTATTGTATACTTTTCCATCTGTCAAAATACTATTGGAAATTTTGGGCTGTATATGGTATTTTTGTACACAAATTATTAATATGTGTTATATAATTTCTTCTGATTTAGTTGACTCTATTCTCTCCTTTTAAAATGGCAATCAGCCCTGTGGGCACAGTAGTCAGAAAGTAAAACAGATCCTAGATTCATGGAAATACAATCCAATGTACCCTGGTTCAATCTTGTGGTCTGAGCCCTGCTTGGCCTTATGCTAGCTATGAGGACTAAGTCAAGGGACTCAGCCTTGGTGAGCATCACGTCCCTATTCTAGAAGATAGAGGCAATTCTAGAATGTGTGGAGCTTGGTGTACAAAGTAAGTGCTCCATAAGTGTTAGTGCCACTTAGGGCTGTTGTTGTTACAATTATTATTGATTGATTGAATTTCCAGTTCTATTTCATGCACATTTCTTTCAAGACTTTGAGTATAAACATCTCTGAGATTCTTTTTCCAAAGGTTAGTGTACTGTAGATACATAATTTTCCTCCACAGCTTTCCAATAGGCTCCATACATACATATTTCATGGTTTGGACTCCTTGCTAACCTTTCTTTAGTTAGTAAGGCTCATTGGATTGTTCTGTATCTATCTCGAGTGTTTTCGGTAAACATGTGATTTTGTCTCTTGGTGCAATGGAGGGCTGTCCCAGCTGAGGGAGCCACAGTCCCTGAGTGTAGATACCCTTGCCCCAGGCACCCCCTTGGAACAGTGCAGGGTCACACATAAGGCCAGGCCAGAGGCTAGGTAGATTTTTCTGTTTTAAAATAACAGTGTGATGTGAGACCTGAAGCTTTTTTTCTTTTTAATTAATTAGGCAACCAGTAACAAAGAACACATTTAGAAATTACAGAGTTCTAGGAAAAGGCGGATTTGGAGAGGTAAGTCAAATGTGACTAGCTATCAGCAATGTTTCTAGAAAAGTAGGACAGCAGGGTACTTGGGAGACCTTACGAATGACTTTCTTTCCTTACTATGTGTTTTGGGAATAGTTTAGGCAACCGTGAGCATTAAGTTTGGATTTCATGGGCAGCCAGGGTGGCTCAGTGGTTTAGCGCTGCCTTCAGTCCAGGGTGTGATCCTTGAGACCCGGGATCGAGTCCCACATCGGTCTCCCTGCATGGAGCCTGCTTCTCCCTCTGCCTGTGTCTCTGCCTCTCTCTCTGTGTCTCTCATGAATAAATAAATAAAATCTTTAAAAAAAAAAGTTTGGATTTCAAACAAAAGGTACTTTGCTACATGCTTTTAAGATTTGGAGATCTGGAAAGAAAAAAATTGCCATCTATGTGATCTTGTTTTTCTTTGACTTCATGGTTCTTAAAGAAGTTGTTTTCCCAAGTTCGGTGCTTGACGTTCAAGCTCTGTTTGTCCTGATTGAAAAAATGATTCTGTTTCCATATGTGGAATTTCTGTCACTCTATTTCCATGATTTAGGACTAGCCGAAATGCTCATGTAGTATAGAGTATATGATTAAATATGCCTATTTATCTCAACTCTGGACATGTATATGCCCACACACCAACATCAAAGGATACTAGAAAATGTGTAAATGTGGGGAAATCCTAGGGAGACTACCCACAAATTCATGAGAGATGACCTTTAGATATGATGGCTCTCCTGGATAGAGACTATTGTTGAGCAGTGTTAAAAGAATCACATCCAGTTCTATCAGGTCATCTGAAGAGGTGTTAATTGCCGTATCAGTTATCTGGAGTGGTCATATTCAGTTCCAGCATTTGTAACTGCCCAGAGGAACCAAAACTGCATGTGTCGTTGGTAGCAAGTTAAACTGTCCACATGTGATTGAAATCATGCATGCTCCCAGATTCCCACTGGAAGCCTGAACCAAAGCCACCAGAGTTCCCTTAATGTAAATTAGGAAGCTAGCCTACAAGGCTGGCCTACAAGAGAGGCCTCTCCTACCGCTGTGCTCGGGGGTGGTGAGAGCTTGGCCACTGTTGCCAGTACCTCAGGAGAAGCAGCAATGTTACGCCTGACACAGTTCTGGAGACTTTTTAGAGTATTTTCAATGATCCAACCAAGTGCTTGTTGTAACTCTTCTAGGATAGAGATTTCTATAAGAAATCCATCCTCTGGTTGAATACCTCCTCAAGCAGAAAAGTTATTTCCTCTCTTTAATTCATGCCAGTCTTCCTCTCATGGGGCCCAAGTATTAAAACTCAGATTCTGTCTAAGAACAGAGGTCGTTGGGATCCCTGGGTAGCTCAGTGGTTTAGCACCTGCCTTTTGCCTGAAGACCCCAGATCGAATCCCGCATCGGGCTCCCTGCATGGAGCCTGCTTCTCCCTCTGCCTGTGTCTCTGCCTCTTTTTCTCTCTGTGTCTCTCATGAATGAATAAATAAAATCTTAAAAAAAAAAAAGAACAGAGGTTGTTTCCAGCAAATGGGTCTTGTGTTTACAAAAGAATGTAGTTCTAGTTGTAGCCATGTGTGAGTTTTAGAAATGGACTCAGTAGTAACATGTTAGCACATTTTAACTGTTGTGAAAGGTTTAGTATATTTATATATATAGATTTTTTTTTAACACATTTACTTGTGTTTCCAAGAAAAAACATTCTGGTTTTTCACAGACCTGTTCTGGATGTGCTATTTATTATATCGCTTCTGCGAGGAGAGTGAATAGTCCATTTGTCTTGTGCACCCCTGTCAGAGGGAGCCCCATAGCCCTCATGCACACAGCCTCAGTGCTCAAGTCCAAATTCCAACAGTGGATTTACTTTTGCAAATGCTAACACCTCTTCCAGGACAAACATTTTGGTCTTATTTTGTCAACTACAGCGCTTTCAGTTATGCTTTAAGTCCCCCAGAATAGATGTGTAGGATCCTAAGGCAGCGCAGCGCTATGGAGGAAGCACATCTGTAAGAGCTGGGCTTGATTCCAGCTGTGTGACCTTGGGCTCACTACTTCATTCTCATCACAAGAGGGAGATGGTCCCTGCTTCCTGGGGTTGTGGTGAGCAGCCAATGAGTATTCCCATCCAGCTGAGAGTGCAGTGTCTGGCACCCTTACCTGTTTTCCCTTCTCTTTCTTTGACTTGGCAATTCCACTTAAAATAAATTAAGTTAATGGTGAAGAGATATGCCAAGATTTATGTATAGAGACTTAATGGTAGGAAAATGATTAAATAAACTTTGGAGTAGTCATATATTGGGAGAAAATTTAATACTGAGAAAACAGTCACACTCTAAGATGAACACAGGAGATTATAAAATATTATGTATCCACAGGGGTCAGGCTTGCAGAGTGTGGCTTGCTGTCTGCCTGAGTGTGTCCACTGCCTTAGGTGCAGAGGAAGAGTGGTGTTGGCATTCTAGGGTGCCACAAGCGACATGGTCTGGGCTCAGCATAGCCCGTCACTGCTGTTTACCAGCAGGCATGACTGTGGAAGAAATGGGGTTTGGTTGTGGCTGGTGGTGGTGGTGGCCTAAGAGGTGGCAGGTATATTGTTGTAGAAACCTTTTTTTCCCTTTTTTAAAACCAGGTTTGTGCCTGTCAAGTGCGAGCTACAGGAAGGATGTATGCCTGTAAAAAGCTAGAGAAAAAAAGAATAAAGAAGAGGAAAGGTGAAGCCATGGCTCTTAATGAAAAGAGAATGCTAGAAAAAGTGCATAGCAGATTTGTAGTGAGTATCTTGGTTTAGTCCTCATTGTGGATGGCATGGTGAGGATCTCTTTCCTTGACACACCTGCTGCTGGGCCCACCTGCTGGCTGGAGGTGTGGGCAGTGCTGCCTGTGCTGGCAGTGGGGACAGGGGCCGGCACAGGACAGCCTCGTCCTGCTGGCAGCCTCTTCTTCCTTATCTACCTCTTATTAAACATACACCTAAAGCACTGGGGATCCTGCCCACCAGTGCCTGGTCTAATGGGCTCCTCCTTACACCCAGCAGCATGCTTTTACCAGGCCAGGACCCTTCCTTGACAGCCAGTGCTTATCTTGGGGCGTGGAGCTACTGCTTCCTGTGCTTGAAAGCACTGCCCCGAGTCCTCCCATCTCTGAGGCCTTGGTCTGACACCTGGAAAATGTACTGCTGGCCCTTGGTTGGCATACCTCAATTGTATGAAGCTTCAAATCCCCCTTCACTGTGTCAGGCAAGGGTTGGACAAGTGGGGCTGGGGTAAACCCCAGGGTCCTGTCAGGCCATGTGCTATGAGGTGCACCGTGAGGTGCTGCGGTATTTATTGCCAAACCTAGCTTCTCTCCACTGCATTAGTATCTCCTGGAGCATCTGTAGCAACAGGAGGGTCTGCGTGAAGGAGGAAAGGGAAAGATAACATAGGAAAGACTTTGCAGTGTTAGATTTACTTCCTCCAAGTTATTTCTGTTTCAGTATTGAGGTTCTCTGCTTTGTGCTAGGGGATGAACTTTGCAAACAGTGGCATTCACAGCCATCTCCTACATTTATCTCGGTGTATGATATCTCTCTCCTCATACACTACAGGAAACCCTTAATAAAATTGGCTCATCTTGGAATTGTTTTAAATTTGTTTGCATAACTACCCCGAAATGCAGAAATCCACAATCTAGCTTTATGAAAGGATCATAAATAGTACCTATGGTTTATACTACTTAAGTGAAATATTTTGGTTCCTAAATTCTTGACCTCTCCCAAGGAACCAAGAAATATTTTCCTTCATCCTTTTTTTTCTAATTGAAATATACTGACATAACAATATCCTATTAGTTTCAAGTGTACATCATAGGGATTCCATATTTTTATGCATTATGAAATGATCCCCGTGAAAAGTCTAGATAATCTATTACCATGCTGTTACTACAATATTATTGACTATATTCCCTATGTTGTACATTACATCTCTTTGACTTATTTGTTTTATAACTAAAAGTTTGTACCTCTTTTTTTTAAGTTTATTTATTTATTTAAGTAATCTCTACTCCTAACATGGGGCTTGAGCTCATGACCCTGAGATTGAGTCACATGCTCTTCCAAATGAGCCAGCCAGGCGCCCCAAAGTTTGTACCTCTTAATCCCTTCCACTTCTTTTCTGACTCCCTAACCCTTCCCTACCCTGATAATCAATAGTTTGTTCTCCACATCTGAGTCTTGTTTCTGTTTTGTATGTTAGTTTGTTTTTAAGATTCCACATATGTGTAAAACCATGTGGTATTTGTCTGTCTTTCCCTGACTGACTTATTTCACTTGGTATAAGTCTGTCCATGTTGCTGCAAGTGGTGAGACTTCATCCTTTTTATGGCTGTGTAATATTCCATTGTATATATGGACCACATCTTCTATATTCATTCATATATCTATATCTTGGATGTTGAAAATAAGGTGGCAGTGAACATAGGAGGGCAGATATCTCTTTGGATTGGTGTTTTCATTTTCTTCAGATAAATACCTAGAGGTACAATTGCTGGACCATATGATATTTCTATTTTTAATTTTTTGAGGACCCTCCATACTGTCTTCCACAGTGGCCTATCAGTTTGCATTCCCACCTATAGTGCACAAGGGTTCCTTTTCCTACACATCCTCACCAACACTTGTTATTTCTTATCTTTTTGATGCTAGCCATTCTGACAGGTGTGAAGTGATATCTCCTGGTGGTTTTGATTTGCCTTGATCCCGTGACTCATAAGATCATGACTTGAGCCAAAACCGAGAGTCACATGCTTAACCAACTGAGTCACCCTGGTGCCCCTGGGATTGTTTTCTTAATTTCTATTTCTGATATCTTATTATTAGTGTATAGAAGTGCAACCTGTTTGTATGTTAATTTTGTACCTTATAACTTTGCTGAAATTATTAATTAGTTCTCACAGATCTTTGGTGGAATCTTTAGGGTTTTCTACATATAATATCATGTCATCTTCAAACAGTTTTACTTATTTCTTTCCAATTTAGATGCCTTTTATTTCTTTTTCTTACCTAATTGCTGTGGCTAGGACCTTAAATACTATGTTAAGTATTGAAAATCTTTCAGCTTTTAACCATTGAGGATGTTAGCTATGGGTTTGTCAATATGACCTTTATTATGTTAAGATATGTTCCTTCTATTCCCACGTTATTGAGAGTTTTTAATCATAGATAGATATTGAATTTTGTCATATGTTTTTTCTGCATCTGTTGAGATGATCATATGATTTTTATTCTTCATTTTGTTAATGTGATGCATCATGTTGATGTATTTGTGGATATTGAACCATCCTTGCATCCCTGGAATAAATTCCACTTGATCGTGGTGTATGATCTTTTTCATATATTGTTAAATTGGATTCAGTAATGTTTTGTTGAGGATTTTTATATCTATGTTCATCAGGGATGTTTTCTTATACTCTTCTTTTTTTGTAGTGTTTTTATCTGGTTTCAGTATCTGGGGGATTCTGGCTTTGTGAAATGAATTTGGAAGCTTTCTTTCCTCTTCCAATTTTTTGGAAATTTTGAGAAGGATGGATACTAATCCTTCTTTAAATGTTTGGTAGAGGGACGCCTGGATGGCTCAGCAGTTGAGCAACTGCCTTCAGCTCAGGGCGTGATTCTGGAGTTCCGGGATCGAGTCCCACATTGGGCTATTTGCATGGAGCCTGTTTCTGCCTCTGCCTAAGTCTCTGCTTCCTTCTTTCTGTGTCTCTCATGAATGAATAAATAAAATCTTAAAAAAAATGTTTGGTAGAATTCACTTGTGAAGCCATGTGGTCCTGGGTTTTTGTTTCTTTGTTTCTTGTTTTTTTTTTTTTTTAATTTTTATTTATTTACGATAGTCACAGAGAGAGAGAGGCAGAGACACAGGCAGAGGGAGAAGCAGGCTCCATGCACCGGGAGCCTGATGTGGGATTCGATCCCGGGTCTCCAGGATCGCGCCCTGGGCCAAAGGCAGGCGCCAAACCGCTGCGCCACCCAGGGATCCCTCTTTGTTTCTTGTTAAAGATTTAATTAATTAATTTGACAGAGAGAGAGAACACAAGTTGAGGGAGGGCAGAAGGAGGAGAAGCAGGCTCCACGCTGAGCAGGGAGCCTGACTTGGGGCTTGATCTCCAGATCCTGGGATCATGACCTGAGCCAAAGGGCTTAACCAACTGAGATACCCAGGTACCCCTAGGCTTTTGTTTCTCAGGAGTTTTAAAATTACTGCTTCAATTTCATTACTTGTAATTGGTCTGTTCATATTTTCCATTTTTGTGTGATTCAGTCTTGAAGGTTTGATTTCTAGTAACTTATTTCTTCTAGGTTGTCCAATATGTTGGTGTGTAATTGTTCATACTGATCTCCTATGATTCTTTGTATTTCTGTGGTGTCACTTGGAACTTCTCTTTAATTTCTGATTTTTAAAAAATTTATATATTTGTTTATTATTGATGAGTCTGGCTAGAAGTTTAATGATTTTATTTATTTTTTTCAAGAACCAGGTTTTAGTTTCATTGATCTTTTCTATTGTTTTTTAAATTTCTATTTCATTTATTTCTACTCTGATCCTTATTATTTCCTTCCTTCTACTAACTTTGGGCTTTATTCTTTTTCTAGTTCTTTTAGCTATAAAGGGAGATTATTTTGGGGGGATTTTTCTTGTTTCTTGGGGTAGAAACTGTGTCTCTATGAACTTCTCTCTTAGAGCTGCTTTTGCTGCATTCCATAGATTTTGGAAAGTTATATTTTCATTTTATGTGTATCAAGGAAGGTTTTGGTTTACTCTTCGAATTTTCCTTCATCCTTGATTGTTTTTTTCCCTCTCTGCTTACAGTTGATCAGTGGGTCCTGATCGGTACCTGTATCACACTTATCCTCTCCTCCTTCCCGCTGCCCACTCTGGCTGGCCCACAACATGATTATGTGTGTGGAAAGTCCCACACTTTCTATGTAGTTTATTGTGCATCTAGCCAAGTTATTAGATACAATACCAGCTACAAATAGTTAGAAAATAAAAAATTTTAATTGAAACCATTTATAGTAGCATCAAGAAACATCATAACCTAGGCAAAAATTTAATGAAAATGTACAAGATTTCTACACTGAGAGTCAAAATACTATTACAAGAAATTAAAGAAGACCAAATAAATGGAGGGATACTATGTTTATGGGTTAGAAGACTCAATGTATGATGATGTTGGTTCTCCTAAATTGGTATATAGATTAAATGAATTAAATGCGATCCCAATCAAAATCCCAGCAGAGTGTGTGTATATGTATAAACTGACCTACAAACCAAGAGAAAAGCAGGCAAAAAACTTGGACAGGTACTTCACACAAGTGATTCCAAATGGATAAATATATGAAAAAGTATAAGAATTGTCTTCTGTATTTGTATACAAAGAAATGCACATTAAAGCCACACATTAAAACTGCAATAAGAGACAACTATGCTTCAGCAGCATTCACTGGCAACACAAAATGTTGGAAGGGTGTACAGCAGCAAGACCCCTCTTACACTGTGGAAGGGTATCTTTAACTTCTATGCTAAATATGGGTGTTCTAGAAATATGGAATATCACTGCTCAAGGATTAGAGCGTAGCTTTGATGAATTATGATCCCACGTGTCTTTGTGAAGTTTTGCTACCTACCCACTTAGCCATAGAAAGTTCTCTCCTCTCAGTACAGAACTGCTGTAAGGTCTCTGATAGGTAAACGTCCAAGAAGCACCAGATGCATGGTATGCATTTCCCTGAAACATGTAGTATTTGAGTGTTCTAATTATAAATATAACATGGCTTATTTGAATAACATTAACATATAGAGTAAATCACCAATGAATGAGCAGGTTTATTTTATGATGCTGTTGTCTTTAGGTTAGTTTGTCCTACACTTATGAAACCAAAGATTCCTTGTGCTTGGTGCTAACCATTATGAATGGAGGGGACTTGAAGTTTCACATCCACAACCTGGGAAACCCTGGATTTGATGAGCAGAGAGCTATTTTCTATGCTGCTGAGCTATGCTGTGGCTTGGAGGACTTGCAGAAGGAAAGAATTGTGTACAGGTAAGAATAGCATGAACTCCTGGGGCCTGGCAGCCTGCTCATCTTGAGCCTTAGGCTCCCACTGGGCTCCCTCTGGCCACTCAGGAGCCTGGGTAGTGGATTGCTGTGGAGCCCCTTGGTGGCAATTTATAGGGTCTGGGCACTCACACTGTTGGGAATGTGGTCAGTCAGTGGTGGACCTTGGTTTTCTTTTTAGTTCTCTTTGATCTCTAGTAGGCTGGTTTTATTTGTTAAATATAGGCGGTGTTACTCATGGAAGCACGAAAAGAGCCCATTTGCAAAATAGTTCTATTTAGGACTGTGGACTCTGTTCCAACAAAATAGTGCAACAATTAAATGTCTCAAATTAATAATACTTATTTTAATATTTTGCATCTTAGAATTCAGTAAAGAAAATTACATTTAATTTAATAGAATTGAATTAGTATGATCAAATATTTAATTTTAGAGAAAGCAATCCCTCCACCCATCCTGCAGTTGTGGAGCTCCTGGGCTCTGACACCTTTCTCAACCACTCCATCCCTTCACCTCTTTGCAGACAGTCACCTCCATGCATGGACCATTCCCTACAGGCTTTTCTCACCTTGCTTTTCCCTCTAAATTTCCAAGGGTTCTGTGTATCCCCTGCCTTCATCTTCCCCATCCAGTTCGTCACCAAATCACTCCTGAATGTTTCCCACATAAGCCTTTTGGGCCATTGGCTTAGTTCGTGTCTTCCATAGGTTGCCTGGCAGGCAGACACTTGGATGTTCTTGCTGATGCCATTCTTGCTCCAGTTCCTGGCCTGAGAGACCAGTAACAGACCTTCCTGTAGTATGGACCCGATCCTGTCATATTATCCCTAGCTTGGAGCCCTGTGGGGCTAGCTCTCCTGACCTGGTGTGATGCTGCTCCCCACTGACTTCTCTATCCTAGGGTCCTGCTGTACCACAAGTAGGGACTCTTTGCCCATTTTGTAATGTGCATGTATTTGCAGGTCCCAGAACTTCTCAAGCATCCTCACACCTTTATACCTTTGCACGTGTGGTCCACTTGTCAGATGACTTTCTTCATGGCAGCCCCTCTTCATTCTGAGAAAACGCAGCTCATTGTCCAGAGTTAGCATGGCAGTGTCCCCTTTCCATAAGGCCCCTGCCCCTGATAACATGGGCATAGCTCCCCTTGGGCTTCCTCCCAGCACCTGTGTTGTCCCAATGGAGGGCTGGTCATGCTAGCTGTAAGCTTCTCAAAAGGCTTTTATCGGATCCCTATTCTGATGGACTCTTGGCTTTGTCTTACATTTCCCAGAGCCATGTTAATACCTCTCAAGGGCCAGATACCAGGCTTAGCCATGGGGCTGATGCAGCCCACCTTGAGTTGCTGAGCAAAGGGTGGATTGGCGCCTTGGGAGCCATTCCTACATAGACAGGCCATTGTCTGAATGGAGAATACCTTGTCACCATATCACAGGGAGTGACTGGTGGCCCTGAAGCAAGGAACAAGCCTGTAGGAGCTTTGATTTCCTCTTTTACTCTGGAGGGCCTTATAGGTTATTACAGTTAAGTAGAAATAAGCCCCCTCTGCTTGTTTCTGGTGGGAAGATGTGCAGGCACACCTCATTTTATTGCTCTTTCCATTATTGTGCTTCACAAATATCTTTTTTACAAATTGAAGGTTAGTGACAACCCTGTATTGAGCAAGTCCTATCAGTGCTATTTTTCCAATAGCATTTGCTCACTTCGTGTCTTTGTCACATTTTGGTAATTACTGCAATGTTTCAAATATTTTCATTATTATACTTGATCTTTTCATTATTATCAGTGATTTTTCATATTACTATCATACTTGTTTTGGAGCATCATGAGCCACACTCATTGATATTTAATCAATACATGTTGTCATGTTGTGTGTGTTCTGATTATTCCACTGGCCATCTCTTCCCCACTCTCTCCTTCTCAGCCTCCCTAGTCCCTGAGACACAACAGTATGGAAATTAGGCCAATTAATAACCGTGTAATGGCCTCTAAGTATTCAAGTGAAAGGAAGAGTCATACATGCCTCACTTGAAATCAAAAGCTAGAAATGATTAAGCTTAGTGAAGAAGGGATGTTTAAAGCTGCGATATGCAGAAAGGCGTCTTGTGCCAAACAGCCAAGTTGCAAATGCCAAGGAAAAGTTCTTGAAGGAAGTTAAGAGCGCTACTCCTGCTAACACATGAACCATAAGAAAGTAAAATGGCCAATTGCTGATAGGGGGGAAATTTTAGTGGTCTGGATAGAAGATCGAACCAGCCCCAATGCTCCCTTAAGCCAAAGCCTAATCCAGAGCAAGGCCCTGACTCTCTTCAGTTCCACGAAGGCTGAGGGAGGTGAGGAAGCTGCAGAAGAAAAGTCTGAAGCTAGCAGAGGTGGGTTCCTGAGGCTTAAGGAAAGAAGTGCCAGGTGAAGCAGCAAGTGCTGATGGAGAAGCTGCGAGTCCCGCAGAAGATCCAGCTAGGATCACTCATGAAGGTGGTTCCAGCACAATAGATTCTCAGTGTAGACACAAAAGCCTTATTTAGGGAGAAGATGCCATCTAGTAGCACTTCCTAGCTAGAGAGGAGTCCTCAGAGCCAGGTTGCAAAGGTCGAGGGATAGGCTGACTCCCTTGTTAGGGGCTAATGCAGCTGGTGACTTTAAGTTGAAGCCAGTGCTCATTTACTATCCTGGAGATTCTTAGGGCCCTTAAGAATTAGGCTCCCTCTCCTCAGCCTGTGCTCTACAAATGGAACAACACAGCCTGGACCACAGCATATGTGTTTACAACATGGTTTACCAAATATCCTATGTCCACTGTTGAAACCTACTGCGCAGAAAAAAAGATTCCTTTTGAAATATTACTGCTCCCTGACATTGTACCTGGTCACCCAAGAGCTCTGATGATGTACAGGTAGATTAGTGTTTTCACGCCTGCTAACACAATGCCCATACTGCAGCCCGCAGAGCAAGGAGTCGTTTTGACTTTCGAGTCTTATTATTTAAAAGATACATTTCAGGGGTGCCTGGGTGGCTCAGTCAGTTAGGCATCTGCCTTCTCCTCAGGTCATGATCCTGGGGTCCTGGGATCGAGTCCTGCACAGGGCTCCCTGTTGAGCAAGGAGTCTGCTTCTTGCTCTCCCTTTGCCCCTCCCCCAGCTTGTGCTCTCTCACCTCTTGCTCACTCTCTCAAATAAATAAAATCTTAAAAAAAAAAAGAGAGAGATACATTTCAGAAGGTTGTAGATGGTGATTCCTCTGCTAGATCTGGGCACAAAGTACATTGAGAATCTTCTGGAAAGATTCACCATTCTAGATGCTGCTAAGAAAATGTTCCTATAGATCAATATCAATACTAACAGGAGTGTGGAAGAAGTGGGTTCCAGTGCTCATGGAGGAAGCCACTGCAGATTTGTTGGGAACAGCAGGAGAACTAGAAGTGGGGCCTGGAGGGGTGACAGAAATGCTGCCATCTCAGGATAACACTTGAATGGATGAGGAAGTGCTTCTTATGGAGGAGCCAAGAAGGTGGCTTCTTGAGATGGAGTCTACTTCTGGTGATGAGGCTGTGAAGATTGTTGAAATGACAACAAGGATTGAGAATATTGAATAAACTTGGTTGACAAAGTAGCCGGATTTGAGAGCACTGACTCCAATTTTGAGAGACGTTCCACTGTGGGTAAAATGCTATCAGACAACATCACATGCTACAGAGGAATCATTTGGGAAAGGAAGAGTCAATCAGTTTGGCAAATTTATTCTCTTATTTTAAGAAACTGCCACAGACACCGCAGTCTTCAGCACCCCCACCCTGATTGTTAGCAGCCATCAACATTGAGGTAAGAACCTCCATCAGCAAAAGGATTAAAACTTTTGAAAGCTTAAATGATGGTCAGCAATAAAGCATTTTTTAATTAAGGTATTCATTGTTTGTTTGGACATAATGCTATTGAACACTTAATAGGCCACAGTATAGTGTAAACATAACTTTTACATGCACTGGGAAACCAAAAAATTCATTTGGCTCCTTTTATTGTGCTGATCTGGGACCAAACCCCAGTACCTCTGAGGTACACCTGTATTACTGGATTTATTAGAAGATTTTCATTTCTCCCAACCTTTCATCTCAGGCCTCCATTTGCCCTCAGACAGAGCAAGTGAAAGGCATGGGTTAGCCAGCACTAAGTGTCTACAACACCCACCTTAAGAAGGTGCCCACTGTTTGTTGAATGAATGACCAATAACTTTACAGGTCCCCCCCCCCCCCCAGGAACTTGTAAAGCACCACTTTCACTCTTCAAACTTCTTTCTTGTCAGAGGTTGCCTCTTGACAATCTTTGTCAGACCAGGTGCCAGAAAGATGACCTTCATTTTTGCAGAGGGATGGTACAAATAAAAATGCTTTACTATTTCAGCAGTCTAAGGTCAAAGAGGAGGAGGCACTCAGTTGGACTTTAAGCTATTCTTAGGGTACCACATGTTAGTCAGAATGAGAGCTTGGGGGCTCCCTCACCCTGGTCTGTGGGGCTGCCTTGAGAGTGCCAAGCCTTCACGTGTGGCCATCTCTTGGAAGCACCAGGATGATGTTGTAGCACAGACAAACAGTTAGACCTCATGGGCAATGGAATTCTTTCTAGCATAAGTGATTTAAATTGGGCCCAGACCTGGTCAGAAAAGGCTTTTGGGAGTAGTTGGACTCACATGGCAGCTTGGCTCGACGGCTAAGATCTGAGCAGAGGGAGGAGGGATCATTCTTTCTGGGGAGATGTGTGCTGTGTTCACATTCTGGAGGAAATGGGCAGAGGAGTCCATGCAAACCATTGTGGTCATAAAGAGAGGAGGAAGGAAGGAGCAAACATGTTGGCTTTCTCTTGTCTGCCAGGCCCTAGGCTGTGCCCTTTTGCATCTGTTATTTATTTGGATAAAAGGTTAAAAAGTTGCTAAAATGCCATAGCATCCTAGAGGCCCTTTTATTCCAGAAAGGATTTTTCTGGTATATTTTGTCTT